ATTAAAATCAACTATTGGTTTCATTTTAGGATGTGTATATTTGTGGCAAATAACACATTTCTTGTAAACATCCTTCAGTTTCCTGATTGACTTTGCCTGCAATTTTTAATAAATTTAACAATAAGTATGACCAAATTGTTTGTGTAATTTTAAGTGTATTTCTTTTGTCACTTCTTTCCATGTTGCTATCAACTATGAAAACATTTTCATCATTGGTAGTTTCCTTCTCATTTCTCATGATGTTCACACAATAGTCTTGTTGATGTGGTTTGAATGTTTACTTTCTGATCAAATGGCATTATATGTTATTTTTCGATGTCAATAATTGTTTCTGCCTTAGCTAGAGATTCCTTACATCAGTGGAATTTTATATTCTACAACTTCTGTTTTTATATTAAACAATTGCCAATTTTTGCTGGGAAGTAACGGTTTGACATGAGTTAAGTATCCTTCCACCTTCAAATTTAAATGGTACCTGACTTTTCTCATTTTTGACAGATTTTAACTCTTCAAAAGATAGTGAATTGAGCATGGAATGCCACTATTCATTACCACAAACTGTCTTGGTACATGCAGTGTCTACAATTGCTGCATTCCAAGCTTCCATTACCAAACCATCTTGATACAACTACTTTTAATACAGGATTCATTCTTCCAGGGCCCATTCCAATGGTCTTTCTATTGCGTCCTTTGTATCTTGCTTCTCTATACATAGATCCTCTAAACAGTTCCCTGCCTCTATTATAATTTTCTGTTATCATTGTTGCTGCTTTTATTTCCATTTCATTATTTATCTGCAGTTCCGTTTTGGCAGTAGTCTGGTCAGAACATTTTCATGATTTCATACTTCATTTGTGTACAGCCAACTGTTTTTGCTGTTCACTAAGATTTGCTTTGTATAGCAATAATAATGTATCGGTATCAATTTTTAAATTGGTACATCAGTCTTAAAATTTTCAAATTTTGTGTAGGCTTCATACATTTGGGATGTCGTTTCCTTCTCAGATAATTTATCCAATTCTATTAGAACATTTTTAACACCATCATCAGTTGTTAGGAGAAATTTATCTATAGCTGTGGCAATTTCTTGTGCTTTTCCTTCCAAGTAGAGTGCCAGTGCTATACCTTGTTTTGTCCATTTCAGTAAACATTTGCCATAATTCAACTTCCTATTTCCATTGGGAGTAGTCATTGTTACCAAATGTGGGTGGATGTTTGTAAGTAGTCATTTTTAATTCTCTGCTACCATTAATAAGAGTCCAGGTCTGGTTTCAAATGTCAGTAGTTCCTCTAGGCAAGTAAACTGCCGAGAGATTGGTTTGGTTTGTTTTACGGCATATCAACCTCAACGGGTTATTTAATGCCGACAAAATTGTTGGTAATTTTTTTTTTTTTTTTTTTCAAAAATCTATTTCTGATAATGTTTTTTTTTTTTTTTTTCCTTCAAAAATCTATTTCTGGTAATGTTTTTTTTTGTTTTTTTTTTTCTTCAAAAATCTATTTCTGGTAATGTTTTTTTTTTTTCTTCAAAAATCTATTTCTGGTAATTTTTTTTTTTTTTTCTTCAAAAATCTATTTCTGGTAATATTTTTTTCTTTTCTTCAAAAATCTATTTCTGGTAATATTTTTTAATTCAAAAATCTATTGCTGGTAATATTTTTTTCAAAAATGTTTTGCTGGTATTAAAACCTATTTTCACATATTTTGACCCCAGTTTGGGGGCGTTAACTATTTGCATATACCTGGTACCCTGACAGTTGCTACCACTCTGGGTCAGGGTGAACCTGGGAACACCATCAATTAAGAGGTGGTTTCACACCTCAACAAAACCTCCTGATCAGAGGCCTTGCTGTTGGACATAGTTTATCGTCTTACCCAGGAGTGAAACTGCCAAGAGAGAAATCACAGCAGTTTAAATAGTATCAAATGGCCCAATCCATACTGGGCAAAAGGGAACACAAGTCTGGGCTTCGGCTGCTGCCACTGCTGATAGGAACAGTCCAAGTTTGGTTATACCAGTTAGAATAAACAATAGTTAACACTTTTCATATTCATGATGTATGCTTGCATCAGATATATGATAAAACATCATTGACTTTTAAGTGCCAGAATGGTAGTTGACTAGAGATCAAAACACTGAAATGTTATAAATCAACACAGGTAATGTTGGTTTTTAAGCTGCCTGTTAAATAGATTTTCCAGTCTTTCACACTGTGGAGCTGAGAACAATGAAATTTTTTTTTTTTTTTTTTTTAGCTGAAGAAATACTTTATTTTAAATTTTAGTTCAGATTCTGTGCATTTGTGAAACATTGCCTAATTACAGAAATTTCTTAATTTATATAATGCACATATTTGGAATGCAGTTCTTCATTTATACAAACAAGTTTGGTTAAAGATGAAAGTTCTTTAGGAATTTTTTTTATTTATGTTTTTCTAGATTTTAGACCATTTTCCTGGTTTCTGGTAAATATTTAAATATAAATTGTCCAATGTCTTGTACTTTCAGCTTTCATAAGCTATTATAAAATAGTTTTGTCTTTTATGTTATGTCAATTTTATCATTTTTGAATATTACATCTTTGTGCCTTCATATGAGTTTGTATTATGTTTTAAAAAATTTTAATGGCATATTTAGTATTTTTGTTCCTAAATTTGATTCAATTTTATTGATGTTTGTTTTGTGTTTTTAATGCTTAATACTTCTAGGGAAGTTTCTCTGTGGCTGTTAAATGGGAGCAGTTTAGTTTTGGAGGCATTCAAGTTTACAAGCCATTTACTGCCCCAGTTAACCACTGATTGGAGATCCTTTTCAAGAGCTGTGGCCAGATTAACCTTGTCTGTGCTGACAGATTTACTATTGAGACAGGAGTAAATGGTAGTCTCAACTGCATAGATGCTAACTTGAGAACTCATGACATCAGGAATAGTGTAGGTCCCAGGATAGAACCTTGGGGAATTCCTGCGTTCATATGGAAGGAATTGGAAGAGAACCCACTCAGGACGACTTTCATTTCATGATTTGATAGGAATGATTGGATTAAACCAAATAATCATCCTGTAATACCCTAACCCTAAAGCTTACGTAGAAGATCAGGATGCCATTCACTGTCAAATGCCTTCAAGATGTCTACAACCACAGCTTGAGCTTTGCCATTATTATCATAAGCTTAATATATATATATATTCAATTATGGTTGTAAGCACATCAGCAGTAGACCGGGCTAAACGGAATCCATATTGTTTGTCAGAGAGTAGATTGTGAGAGGTAAGATGATTAACCTGTTCGGTATTCATTAAAGCCTCAAAGAATTTGCTGAAAACGGTAGGAGACTGATAGAACAGTAGTTAGAGCATCAGAAGGTCTTTCAGAGTTCTTAAAAAGAGGGACGACAGGCTGGAAAACATGAAGCAGCGAGACAATAGTTGTATAGTTTAGAGAGAACTGGAGCACATTTCTTTAAGATGATGGCTGGTATCCTGTTGCCTCCACTTGCCTTGTTAGTCTAATTTAGAAATGATGTCCGAGACCAACCATGGAGTTATGCACATATCACTCAGTATAGCCTCACTTCTAGTGAGGAAGTTCGGTGTGGGCACACTGGATGAGTTGAGTCAAGAGTTGTAAGCATTATAATAGACTCTTATACAGGAACCAACCAGAAAGTAACCACAAACTAGACAAAAATAATATAAGAAGCCTAGTACATACATATCACATAAAGACAAAAAATACAAAAAACAAATTATTGCTTATTATAAAAAAAAAGTCAAAACCCCCAACAGGATCATCTCCAATGATAAAATAAAATCAAAACTTCAACAAATCAATGTTGTTTGAATTTACTTGTCCACATGGAAAATGCTTCTAAAACAAGAATAATAATACACATATATTGGTTTCAAAACTTCTACATTATCATGCCAATTAATGCGCCATTTATCTTATAGCATTTCAATTAAGTGGCATAACATCAACTAACAACAAAAACAAGAAATCCAACAAAATAACACAAAAATACTGCATCAAGTTAAATGTAAAATTAAACCACGAATACTAGAAACATTAAGCATAAAAACAAAATAAAATAAATCAAAATGTTATAAAATATAGGAACACACATTTTATATATATATATATATATATACACACACACACACACAATATAGTAAAAATAAAAAAAATCCTTAACAAAGAACTTTTGCTCGTCATTTAACCAAAGTGATATATATATATATTCATTCAAACATTATTTTTAATGCCCACCAGTGTTTGAAATAAAGAAAATGTGCTCCAGAGATTATTTAAGTTTTCTTGACTGCACAGGCCAGTAGACATAAAATACGCACTGTTTAAGAAAAACTAAAACAGGGTTTCTATTTCAAACTTGGGTGTCCACTAAAAATAACGTTTGAATAAAAATGGATTAAAAGAAATCTATTAATTCTTTATATATATATATATATATATATATATATAGGAAAAAATGGCACGATACCACAGTCTTATGTGAAGATGTGATATTCGAAAATTATGAAACTGACATAATACAAAAATCAAAATTGTTTAATAATGTATTACTGCTTAGACAATTTATATTTATAAATGTACCAGAAACCAGGAAAATGGGCCACAATATTGTAAAAAATAAAAAAATAAAAATCCTTAACAAAGAACTTTTGCTTGTGATAGATATATACACACACACACACACACACACAAAGTATTCATTTTAAAAATTCAGCACATTTTTAATATTATATGAAGAATAATGTAAGCATAAAAATAAGACTGGTTGATAAGCTACAGAAAACACATCAGTCAATCATATTTAAGGTGTTTTTTGAAAAATTGTTGGTAGTTTTAATTTTGTTAACTTGAAAGTTTTGAAGATAAATTAGAAATTAGTGTGGAGATGTTTTCTTTGTACAGTAATGTTAATGACACTAGCAAAGATTGATATAAAATTTGTTTATATTTATTTATTTTTTTCTTTGCAGCCAAGCCGTTGGGCATTAGTATGTTGTCTTTGTAAGGAGCGCATTGGTGCCTGCATACAATGTTCAGTGAAAACTTGTAAAACGGCTTTCCATGTAACATGTGCATTTAAAAATAATCTTGAAATGAGGACCATACTGGAATCTGAAGAAGAGGGAGGTGTGAAATTAAAGGTATTTTAACCATATTCCAGTGCTTTGATATTTGTGCTGTTTCAAATTTTAACATAGTCATTATTCTATAGATTATATTCAAGCAGCAGCTGGTGAATACTTGTAAAACCAGATGCAACTTAAACCTATAATGAGCTGAAATCTTCAAAAGATAGATATTAGTTCACAATCGATGGAATAATTTTTGTATATTTGATGTAGAAGTCAAAATAAACACAGATAATATTTTTAAAATGTTTCAGGTTTCCTTATGATAACTTTATTTTATAAAAATGTTGTATTTTTTACTAGTAGGACATTTTATTTTCTAGTCATATTCATATTGCATGTATGTTATAAATACTTTTTTCTGTTTCTTGTAATTATAGTATAGAAATTTGAAGGTAAATTGCATAGAATTATGAAATATCACTTTAGATTTTGACACACATTTTCATTTGTAAAATAACTAGGTAAACTGGTGAGTTTTTTAAATACATTTTTTGTAAAGTGCTTTAATGTCTTAATAATATTACAAGTCTTGAACATGAATTGAGATTTTATTTTTCTGTTCCAGGCCTATTGTCCCAAACACAGTAAAAAACGTGAACGATGCCAATCTGATTCTGAGACCGACTCGCCAAGAAAGGAACAGCTATTGTGTGGCCGTAAGGAATTGTCTATTGAAGAGAAGGCAAACTTGCGTGAATCAAGGTAAAATATTGATTTTTTTTTTTTTTTAGATATTTTTGTTTATGTATTTACTTTGTCGGTAGTAGGGATGTAGTAGAAAGCAGATTTATTTTGTTGGTTTAATTCAACAAAGGACATGACAGCAATCTTTTTAGTAAAATTTGATTTCATATGAGAAAGCAGCAAAGAAATATATATATATATATATATTACAGGGTACAATGGATAAATTGTCTCAGTTACACAAAAATGAAAATAACACTGACATCTCATTTTAACAGATATATTTACCAAAATTACACAAAAATATCTTGAAATACTAAAGAGTAGATTTATTTAATAAAATCGCTATTGGCTTCAACCATGAACTTGAGACAACTTCGGAATCTCCTTCAACTCTTCTGGACGGTCTCCTTGTTTAAGTTGTTGAATGCTGCCATAATCCTTGCCTTCAGTTCATCTTTGGTGTTACAAGGAGTTTTGTTGGTTTCTCACTCAACTGCGCTCCACATATAATAATCAAGGGGGTTGCAGTTATGTGGCCAGGTATTAAGGGGTGATGTGGTCGCAGAAATTGTCTGACAGCCATGACCGAGTTCTCCTGCTTGTTTGGTATGGTGCAGAGTCCTATTGCCAGACAGGGTGTCTTCCACCAGCCACCCTCTTGACCCAGGGCAGCATTACCTCCTCAAAGCACTTGATGTATGTCTCCCAGTTTAGTCTGAGGAAGTTCTTTTCTTATCAGAACAATCAGAGTGAGATTTCCGAGCTGCTGTACCTTTGTAAGTACCATTAGACTCCTCCAACTCTTTCTGAATCCCCTGCACTATCCTCAAATTTGAGACCCAAACACATTGAAATGTTCATATTGGAGGTTCTGAAGTGCATGCCAAGCAGTACAGCATGCTGTTTCCAAATTTCTGGTGGAGTAAATTGCATCATGGTGTTCTTTTTCTCACAGATGGTGTCCAACTAACCTTACTATAATGTTTAGTTGATAAAATAAATAAAAAAAACAAACCATGTACATGTGCAAAATTTAAAATGGTGACAATTTACCCATTGGTAATGTCTGTGTTCTAATTACTGAAGATGGTAGTGGGAAGAAATGGGAAGTGTGTGTGTGAAATTTCAAATATTTTAAGGTGAAATGTAATTTAAATATAAGCTTGTAACTAGTGATGACTCAAATTTAAAAAGACAGTTTTAAGTAAAATTTCAGAATTTCCAAGATTTTTTTTTTTTTTTTTTACAATTGTAAAATTTGACATGGCCGCATGTAAAAATATTTTCTATTTTAATTTTGTGTATGCGTTTGTGGGTGAGGGTAATTTTACAATTTTTAAAAATTTCCTATCTCTCTTCAGACTTGCTCAACTGGAAGAAGATTTTTATTCTTTAGTGAATGTAAAAGAAGTTTCAAATAATCTCAACATTGCACCTGATATTGTTGATATTGTGTTTGTTTACTGGAAATTGAAGCGAAAGGTAAATATATGAAGTAACTGACTTTTTTTTTTCTTTTTTTATTCACTTGTGCTTTAAGGAGAACTAAAAAAGAATCTTTAAGCTGTCCCATATGTAACTGTTTTTTTCTATCAAGTGAGAATCTTAAAATGGGTTAGTGATTTTTAACAAAAAAAAAAACTTTTCTAAAACTAAGAATAAAATAACTTAGTCTTATCAAAATCAAACCATAATCTGATTGTTAGTGAAATCATGAATTTTATGTAGGTCTTCAATTTCTTGTAAAAGAAAATTAGGTAAGAAATAGTACATGTGACTCTAAAATTGTTGTTTAAGAAGTTGTAAATGCTGAATAGTGGTATTTTATATAAATATTTTATTACTTAAAAAGAAATATTGATAGAAAAATTAATCTTATTTTTCCTTATTTTCCAGGCTAACTTTGACCGTCCGTTACTGACTCCAAAGCAAGATGAGGCTAGTCTTTTGGAGAAGCAACAGGAAGACAGCCTAGCTGCCCGAATGAAAATGTTTGTCCATCTGCGCCAAGATCTTGAGAGGGTAATTTTAATTTAATTTTTCTGTTCAATGAAATTTGAAAAAATGCCTTTTTTACCCAAGATAATGTAAACACTTGATAAGACAAATTAATATTCTAAAACTTATCTCTTCATCTTCTGTTACAACAAGTTCTCAATTGAATATTTGTAGTATAACTAGTAGGAATTAATCATATAGTTTATATGACTGTTGCTGTTATTAGGTGGATATTAGTGAAACCATTATATTGAAAATAATCCCTGTATTAGATTATTTTGTAGTTTAACAGTAACTTTTTTTTATTCTGATTATCTTTTGGTAATGAATGAAAATAATTATAAATGACAATTATAAACGAAATCCAAAATAAACTTGAAAATAGTAAGTATTAAAAAAAATCAATCCTCTATAACGTAAAAATTTAAAATAATAAAGAATATAGTGTTAATTCCTTTGACTACAATGTGTTGTGACTCTATCTTCCAAAGTGTGTACGTGTACACATGTGCTTGTGCCTAAACTATATACATTACAAAACTGCTGGATGAATTAAGAATAACAGAACAGAAACTTTCAAATAAAAATGGCTTCAACTCTTTAGGTCACTTGCCTACTGAGCAATAAACTGAACCTAATATCTAGTGGTAAAATTACTTTGAAAAACCAAGTACACAGTAACTTTATGCATAAATGGGTGAAAATCCAATGTTAGATCCTTTGGAAACTTATTTATTTGTAATGTATTCCTGGAATAGACACTATCTTTTAAGATGTTTTCACTATTAGCTGGAATTGCCCCCTAATAAAATTGAAAATGTTGCACACAATTTAGTTGTAATATTATTTATTTACAAAATTAATTTCATATTTACAAGATGTGAACCAACTACAATGTAATATTTATTGTTTTATAAAGAAATAAGTATGAATAATTTTTTTTCAATTTATAAAAATCTTCAAAATTATAAAAATGTGAACCAACTATAATTATTTATTATTTACTATTTTATAAAAGTTTATTATTTACCATTTTATGAAGAAATAAATATGGAAAATTTTTTTCATTCATAGATTTATAAAAATGTTTGTAAACAAGAAAATTTAAATAAATACATAATGACGTATAACTAATTATAAATTTTGAAAAATAATGCATTCTCTAGACCTGGGTGATATCACCCACTGATGAGCGATTTCAACTGTTAGGTGGGTGATGAGCAACTAAACTGGTGGGCAAGTAGAAATTTTGGTGGGTGATATAGGAATTTGAGTATTAAAATGGCATTTCATCATATGCTACCTGAAAAAAGTATTCAAAGGAGATATGCAAAGAATCTGTGTTCTTTCTTCTTCTTTTTTTTTTTTTTTTTTAAAAGAAAAAAAAATAGATGGTTAAATGAGAATATCTGGGTTACATTCCTAGATCAGATGTTAATATCTCTGTAAGCAATGAATATATTGGTATTTTCTATAGTTTTGAGAAGGGTCATTAACATTCAAATAGTTCTTCAAGACAAAATAATATTTTTTTCAGTTATAAGTCAGATAAGTGAAGACCAAAAACAACAAAAAAAATATTCACTGATTTTTAAAAATTTTACAATTATGAACAAAAATTGTTTAATTTTCTTATCAATACTTGCAATGCTAACTATAAAACTAAATTATATATGCACTTTTCAGTGGTCAAATTTGCTTTTGTTCTTTAATATGGTCATAGCAACAGTATCTGCATAAGTTAGTGTTATTTGTTAACTCCTTTTGTTTGTTTTTTACTACCTCATAAAGTCAGTTTATGAACCAGTAATAGACTTTACTCAAACAATTTTTGGTATGCTTTTTACTATACAGGTGGGTGGTGATGCAAAAAAGGTTGGGAACCTCATACTTTTAATTTTAGACTTCAGGCAAAACCACAAAATTTAATATTTTGAGTGTGTATCTTCCTATTTATTGGTTGGACAAAGTTTTCCTTGTGTATAATTGCATAATGTCTAATTATTACTGGGTTTTTCTATTGGTTAGGCACCCTCGACTCTAAATCACTATTATAAAAAAAATTTGGAAAATTAAAACAGGAAATAATCTGAGATACAAAATAATCTGAGAAGAAAATTTTTTAGTGTTCAGAGTTTATTTAAAGTTTCTTTTTCCATAGTTCAGATATTTTTGAATAAAAAGATTTGTTTTCATACTTTAGAAAATGGTAAATGGTATTGCATTGTTGGTTCATATATTTTTATAAGCTTGTAAATATAAAATTAATCTTTTAAATAAAAAATCTAACAACTGTGTGTAACATTTTTGTTTTTATTAAAATTCAAAACATAACTTTTTAAGACACATTTGCTGAGGAACCCAGTATATAGTAATAGTGGCGTCAAGAGAAGATTAAATTTTGCTGAAATTTTTTTCTAGAATCTGGTCAGTTTTATAAGTGGTTGACATTTTTTAATATATAAAATTTTTAATACTTAGTATTTGTCATTAAATAAATTTAATTTTGTAAACGTTTGTGTTCTACACTGTTTTAGCTATAGTGATCTGCTCTGTATGTGGTTATTTGCTGACTCTAGTAAATGATTCAATTAATGCATTTCAAATTTGTAGAAGCCATAAACTTGTTTTTAACTTCTGTTTTAATACTTTATTTCTCTAAACAAACAAAAAAATTAGCTTATGCTGAGTAGGAATGCTTTGTTTGTGTGTGTAATATAAGTATATTTCACACATTGTAGTATTTGCATATTCCTGTAGGGATGTGAGTTAGAATAATTTTCTCATCTCATCCATTAATTTGTCAGAGATAATGGAATACAAAGTATGTATATATTATAAATAGTTTGAGAATTTTATAATCTCAAACTTGAATCCAGCTAACCTTTGGGGTAAGATTAACAGTGACTTTTTAATATAAAATTGAATTTAACATTAAAAAAAACTTTTTAGCATTTGGTTGCTCATTTAAGGAAATTTATTCTAAAGCTTATTGCTGGAAATGTAAATATGACAATCTTATGAAAAAGCAGCTTTGTAAATAAAGGGCGTTTTTCTGTTAGTACTTGTATCCCATTTCTTGATTTTTAAAAATTTGCCAATAGAAATTAACAGATGTTATTTTATTTTTTGACTAGTGAGCTTGTTCACATACATCAATTTGCTCTAGGCTTTTTTTCTTCTTTTTCTCTGTGTGTGTGTGTGTGTGTGTTAAATGAAATCAGTATTTTACAATAGTATGGTTACTTTTTTAAATTTATTTAATGTTAGATAATTTACATGGTAAATTTTGAAAATTTATTTATACAGTCCTATACATAACAAAAAAGATGCTGCATATTTGTTTTAATGGCATTAAATAATCATCTGTAGTATTGAGTGGATAGTGGATATTTTTTGTTTTTCATATGTTCACCTGAAATTATCAAGTGATAAATTTATAATTTAATTATTAGTAATTAATATTTTTTGTTATTTTAGGTTCGTAATCTTTGCTATATGGTGAGTCGCCGAGAAAAGATCAAGAGGCAGTACTACCGGATCAAAGAAAGTGTATTTCATGCTCAGGTAGAGCTACTTACTGATGAAAATCTTCCAATGAGCCCTCGAGAGATTGAGAAAATCCTCAAGAAGTACCAGGATGACAGTATTTATAATGAGTTCTTGTTTCAGGATCGAGTCCCTGACACAACAATTCTTTCAGACTGGGGCATTTCTCGAGCAGGCTATGAAGAATTTGTTAAGCGACATTTAACATTTGGATTTGGCAGCAAACACTCAGTTTTTGGTGTGCAGCAAAGACCAATTGTTAGTAAAGGATATGTCCGTAAGAAAGCACGAAAAAATGTTAGCTCTGATAATCAATGTGAAAAGTCGCCACGGTACAATATCAAAAAGTTGATTCCTCGAAAAAACAAAGAGAATAATCAGTGTGATGAAAGCGCTTGTTCCGATGATGAAATTCCTGTAGAAATTCATCGCAAAAGGCGCTTGCCAAAAAAGGTAAAAAAGTCCAGAAAAAATTCTGAAAGTATTTTAAGAGGTACAAATTCTACATTGGAAGAAAATGAAAACAGGCACTCTGTAGACTGCATCAACAAAAGCATGACCCATACATCCAGTATGGATACAGCTACTCAACAAAAGGTGTCTGATCGAAAAATGATGAAAATCAAATTGTTAGATAAATCTTTGCCACAAAATTCCGAACATTTAGATGATAGCTTTTCCAAAGATTATTCTTCATCACTAAGAGTCAAGGAGGAAGAGGAGGAGCATGAGGAGGATGAAAATGAAGACAAATCAAATGTTATTGTTGATAACAGTAAAAAAAAGAACAGGATTTTTGCATTGAAGAAAAGAAAAAAATCAGCACAGAAACTCAAGCAGGAAGGTTCACAAACAGACGAACTTGCTGGTCAGGAATCGGATGAAGAAATCCATCACTATTCTGTTTCCCCACTGAAACCAAATGGGCACATACCAGAAAGTGTGAAAGCAGAGCTAAATGGCCTTCTGATAAAATCAAAGTTACTTGTAGATGAAAAACTCCGTGAAAACATGCAGATGAAGCTTCTGCATTCCAAAAAGGTTCAGTCTTTGATGAATGGTTTGAAACGAACTCCACAGCAGTCTATTTACCTCCGACTTTCAAAGAATTCCAGAAAACTCTCTCCTTCTTTGAGTGAAAATTGTCTGACAATTGAAAGTAAGGATGATTCTATGATGAACCGAATATCTTCAGATATTTATGAGACATGTGTGCAAGGGAATTGGTACAACAAACATACTTCTCCACACAGTGGTATAACCAGTTTTAAAATTTCAAAAAATGGAAGTACAACTAGTGATAAGCCTCTTCCTTTGGCTGGTGGGGGTCTTCTCCACACTGAGGATTCTGGCAAAAATATCCGTAAACTGTCTTGTTCAAGGTCTTCAGCAGATCGCCGTGTTCGGCGGAAGCTGGATAGTGACTTGGGATCATGTACAGTGAATGATACTTTAAGTGACTCCTCAGCTGCACTACGAGACAATTCCAAGTCTCAAGTGTCAATTGTAAATAGTGTAGACAATTACAAAGACATGTCAAGAGCAGTGTTACAATCTCGCCTTTCTGTCTATGATGACGACTCTGAGAACATTGATCATGGCATATGCATTGACTCTGTCAATCGTCTTTCAGACATTCCTAGACGAATTACACGTAGCCACACAACAGACTGGAATGATGAAGATGTCTCAGACCAGAAGCAGTCTCAAAAACATATTTCTAAAGGAAAGACCAATGAACTTGCGAAAATGAGTTATGTGTTATCAGCAAGCTGATAGCAAGTAATGTTGATCATATTGTCTGTCATTGTTCACTGCTGATGTGTATGACCTCATTGTCATCGTCTCCTTAATGCAAATTTTATGGTAATGATGAAAAATTATAAATGTAAACCAATTCTCTTAAAAAGAAGGGAAAAAAAGACAAAATATTGTGCAATTCTGTCATGCAAATTAAATAATTTTTCAAATTTAAAATTTCTCTGGAATTTTAAAAAAAAGAAATAAACAGACAGAAATGCTAAGAAATGAGTAAATGTGAATTATTTAAGTTAAGCAAAAAAATAAAGGGAAAAGATCAACGTTCAGCCTAGAAAATAAACCTCTACTTTTGCCTATTTCTGGTTGTTGAAAACTTCTCCTTCATTATTTTGTCATCATTTTTTTCCAACATAAAGCATTTTAATTTTATGAAGTAATTTGTCTTTAATCATACAAATTTTCTAATCGAATTTAAAGATCCACAGGTACTGAATGGATCATTTTAGATAGTTCTATATTTTTTCTCAAGTCAGCAATTATCATTCAATACATAAAATTATACTAAATCTTTGTTTCTTTGAAAAAAAAACAAACTCATTTATTTTATTTTATTTATTTATTTATTTATTTATTTTTTTTTTTTTTTTTTTTGTAACATTTTAATTTAGGAATTTTTGTGGTAGCCTTCATATTTTTCTCTCTAGTAAAGGAAAAAAATATTTTTTAATGAGTGGTTGTGAGAAAAGCAAAAAAAAAAAATTATGAAATGTATGTTTGTCTTTGTTTACACTTTCCTAAAACAATAATTAGCTATTGTTTATTTAATCATTTGTTTTCTCTTGTAGATAATATTAAGATATAGGAGATTATCAATAACATAAAACATGGCTGAAAATATATGGGAATAATTTTTAATGGATTTGAACTATTCAAATGTTTATTTTTACTATTAAATTATTAATATTCAATTTTCCACTTTAATACAGAAGAAATGGCCCCAATATTTTAATGTTTTCAGTATAGCTTATAACATTTTACAAAAAAAATTAGGTAGGTGCTGTTCTTTTGTTTTAGTTTTTTTCCCATTGTGATTGGACCAGATATTTTGTGCCCTTCACTCTATTGCTCTACCAACCATCATCCATCATATTTATGTTGACACAAAATGTTGACTATCATTTTCACTTCATTATATAGGCTAAACAGCTTTTCAAATGTACACAATATGCCAGTATAATTTTAATAATAGCTCTTTTCTCAAATGTACAGTTATGCATTGAAAGTAAAATAACTCTATTCATATGTTCATTTATATTTGTAAACAAAAAAATATGAATGAAAAATAGTCATATTTATGCAAAATCTTATGTCATTAAATGTTCCTAAGATTATTTAAGATAAATTCTTACATTCTTTTTAAAGTCATTTTGTGTTCTACTTTTTAGTTATTGATAGCAAAAATAACTTTTCTGATGAATTCATAAGGATTTATTTTTTAGTTTTGCTGAAAAGATGCAAAAAGACATTACTCTTATTCATATTTAAAGCTGCTAATTTTAAAGTTGCTAACAATAAAGCAAGAAATGATTCTTGCATAATTCTGTAAAATAACTAAAACTTCTATTTCCTTTAAAGTTTTCAAAATTATTCCAGTTGAAATTTGTTCACCACTTCAGATTTTTTAAAGTTTATACCATATCAAGTTTTCTTATGCATAAATGCTAAAAATGATGAGATGGATTAGATAAAAAAAAAATGAACTTATGATTCTTCTCTTTAAACATTGTCACACAGTTGTATCAATATTACTGTTATATTCTTTTGTTCTCTTAAATATCCTGTACAGTTCTGAGTGAAAGTGTTGAAATTGTTATTTTCAAGTGCATAGTAGATTCATTTCCAATGATATTTTTGATAAATATATTTCTTGCAGAAGAGCAGAGTTCCATTTGTAATTGGTTAACTGAAACTGCCTCAATCCTTATCAGTAGTGTTTCAGTAAGATAATGAGGCACCTTAAATGCTGCAATAATTTCTGTTATAATTACAAATATATTAAATGTATGCATTTAATACATTGTATATTCAAGTCTTTCTTACACACTTTTGCTGCAAAACCAGATAGTGAATTAAGCATTTATCTAATAGCATTTAATCTATAATGCTCAAGTTGAAATCACCAGTTATTCATGAGCAGGTTTCTAGCTATATTTGTAAAAGCATCAATTTTGGAGTTATTGATGATTGATGACATGTTAGCTAAAATAATTGATGAATTATGTAGAAAACAGTCTAAGTTTATATTTTTTATTAATTCAAAGAGCTTCATTAAAACCATAATGAAATTGTTAAATGGAGCATGTTCTCTTTTTATCTTATTTTTTTAATGTGAACTTATAAATTTATGAAAGCTCAAATGAATTTTTCAGATGAGAAGTTAAAAATATTCTTGTCTTAAAAATAATGAAATATTTGACTTGTGTGATATTTCTAGTTATAAAAAATAAAATCTTATGTGGATAGTCAAAGAAAACATGATAGAAGTATTGAAGGTAATAATTATAAAGTTAACAAACTTAATTGATTGTTTTTGGGGGTATAGAAGGATAATACCTTTGCAAGACTTAACATTTTTATTTATCTAATTTATTCTAAATTATTGTTGTCTTTTTTGTGTGAGTAAAGCTAACATGAGAAAGAAAATATTGAATTTTAAGCATTTTCACAAAGGTGCCTCATATTTGCATTTGGTGAAAACTTTTATTCCCGGTGTGTTTAGAATCTTCAATTTTAGCTTTTAACTTACATAATATTTCTTAAATTAATGAAGTTTTTCTCAATTCTATGCTAAGGAGTCTTGTGTCACTACTTGAACTCATAATTAGCAAATTTTGTTAATTGTCACATTTTGCAGACTCCAGCATTGACCACCAAATGACACTAACATTCAGGAACCAAAGTTATATTTATACAAATTACAATATTTGCAAAATAAAACAATTTTTATTTCCATGAGTTTATTTAAACTTCTTTTCTTTTAAGTTTCTATGTTTTGATTCAGAGTTATCATTGTGACTTGGCAGTTTTACTAAAACATCTTCATGTCTGTTCTTAATGCAATATTCAGTTCATATTTCATAATTATGGTTGAGTGACATGGTGTGAGGGTTTGTTTACTTAACCTATAAGATTATATATATATATATATATATATATATATATATATATATATATATATACTAACATGCAAATCTTTTAATATTCTCATTAAACTAAATCTGTGTTAAAGAAAAATTCAACCTAATATAATGTCATTTAATACAAACTGACTATATG